AAAAGACTAAAAGTAGTTTTAACTGAATTGATACAACCTGATCAGATTGGATTAGTCCCAAACAGGTATATGAGGGATAATATTAGATATATTTTGAATGCTGTTGGGAATATATATCAGAAATGTAAGTGTAGGGAGTCATGGAGATGACCTTGATAATGCCATCCAGAACCTGTTAAGACACCAACAGGTGCAGAAGTAAGCCCAGAGAGGTGGGAAAGTATTATTAAAAAAAACTCAGACTGGCTCCCTCTGCTCCGTCCCCCAGGGTATAGAAAGGTGGGAAAGGAAAATATAGGCAAACTTGCAAAATTCTATTACTATAATCTGTCTCAATAAAATAGAGCTCTAGTCTTCCTGTGGAGTCAGTTTCCCAATCTAGTCTATCTTGTATACCTGACAGTAAGGAAGCAGCCATGGATTTCCTAGATGCAGAGAAAGATTTTGATAATTTGGAACGGCCTCTCATATTTAAAACTTTGGAGAATCACTATGAGCTTTCTTACATGGATACAGAGTTACAACAAATGGCCAAGATGATAGCAAACAGACTTTTATCACAAAAATGTGTCATAATAAAGGGAACAAGATAAAACTGTATCCATTCTCTTTTTTACCTCTACTGGCACTGGAATCATTTTTCTGGGAAAGAATGGTAGATTGAAGATGGCTCAGCGAAAAGCCGACATTTGCGGCTAAAAACAGGGAGCTGAAGAATAGATTGGCTCCTTCAATCCTCTCTGGACAAAGAGAGGATGCAAAATTGCCCAGGTTCTTCTCCATTCAGTTGCTTCTCAGGAGGAGTCTGCAAAGCAGCGGTCTTCAGAGGTAGGAGAACCAGGGGCCAAGGGAATTTGCCAGACTTGCTCCAGCTGCAAACAGAGCCTTTCAAAGGACACTAAGTTTGCACTTTTCTTGCTAATCACTTTTGGAAATTCCTATTAATTGCTTTAAAGACGTTAGACATCTTCAAAATGACAAGGCTGGAAACACCAGGTGAGTGCCTTAATATAAGAAAATGAAGATGTATCTTTATAACCTTTAAGAATTTAAAATAAACAGCAAAAGGCAAGATAAGGTTTTGGCTATGAAAAGTTTTAAACAGATTAAGAGCTCAGAAAACATTGGAATATTGGATTTTAAATATTAAGACTTTGAAATTAATTTTAAAGAATAAATGCATTTTCGTGGGAAAGAAAAACTGTTTTCGATATTGGAGTCACAAGACAAGCAACTTACAGTGGTGTTCAGAGAAACTTTTGAGGAATTGCATTGGGACTTTGAATCAGTAACGTCAGCTGTGTTGTGTCTTCTCAGTAACAGTCTGTTTCCAGATGATCCTGCATAAAAAGATATGCAACAAAGTCTATTCGAGAGCAACATGAACAAGAATTTGTCATTAGACATTAAAAAATTGGATAAGGCTTTAAAAATTATTTAAAAGACTTATATTCCACCAGCAGCAGCAGCAGCAGCATCTATTATTATATGCAGATGATGTTGTACTTACAGTTATCAACCTAAAGGACTTTTTAGAGCTGCTAATGGAATATATATAGCAGTACAATTCAATATCTAATATTGAATGAATAAGAACAAGACTCAAATTGTGACAAGGAATTTATCAGAAGAGCTAAAACTGTAACAACAGCAAATGAAGGTTTTTAACATTACTGTCAAAAAGATTAAGTATTGGGAACTTAAAAAAAAAAAAAGATTTATTCAAGAACAATTATTCCAGACTAGGCAATATATAATGGTAGACATCTTAAGATGAAGAAAGTTGAAACTGTCCAGGTTAGGAAGAATTGCAGTGCTATTTTAAGTAAAATAGGTAATATTTTACCAAGATTTAATTTTTTGTTTCAAATGATTTCAGTAAGAATTGAAGACAAAATATTAAATGACTGACAGAAATAATCAACTAATTTCATGTAGTCTAATAAAATATCTAGGGTAAAGCTCAAGAGTCTACAAGACTCAAAAGATTGAAACAGTGCCAGTACCAAATTTCAAATTGTTCTACCATGCTTTTGCTGATATTAAACATCTATCTTTATGAAGGAGAAATTGGCTAGTGAAGGGATAATAATTCATAGAGATTGCAAGATGAATAAAGCAAAGATGAAGTATTTTGAGATTCTCTCTTTAGAATGGTCAGAATCACCTCATCATTGGTTTTAATAGCTACAGACAAGATGTAAAGCCTAAAGACATTACAAAAACATTGAAATTTGAGATTAGATATTTGACTGATTACAAAAAAAATCACACAAAATTCAGATAACTTATTGGAGTTATAGTTGCTGCTGAAGTACAATCCAGAAAGTGAATAAGGGTTTTTATGATCATACGGATGCAGAATTTGAAGAGAACAATTGATAGGCAACAACTGAATATAAATGGAAGAAAAATATCAAATGTGCATTTAACATTAGAGAAAACTGGTGCAAGATGTACTACCAATGAAAAATTATTCTGATTCTGATTGCCAATTCATTTTCTAAAAACTGTTGGAAATGCAGTAACTACACTGGGTCATTCTTTCACATTTGGTGGCAATGCTGTATGGCCCAACGATTCTGCAAAATATATTTGTACATTTAATAAATAATAATTTTTAAAAAGAATAAAAACTGATATGAAAGGACTACTTGTGTGTGTTTGTACACACACACAGACAGACATATATATCAATGTGGAGACAAGGAAAATGGAGAAAGGAAAAATATTAAATAAGCTGAATTGTATTAAAATAATTAAAAATTAAAATAATTTTTAAATATTCAAGAATAAAAATAAAAAGAATAAAAAGAAATATTTTAAAATTTACATGTAAAATTAACATTGATCAAAAAAATTAAAAGAATGCTAAAAAAAAACAAATAATATACAACTATAAGGACCTCCGAAAGTGGCATACCAAAACAACAATAGAAATCTTTTCCCCAAGCTATCAATTCTTTTTGCAATTTTTTCAAAACTAAAAATTCTTAAATATATACAGATTGTTTGGTTTCTCCTTCTGACCCCAGCTCAATAAACTCACCAACAGCACCCAGATCAGAAAACATTTTACTGCACAGTCCAGGGATAAGGGGGAAAAAAATTCAGATAAAAGGGAAAAAAAATTATCTTCTATCTTGTTGCCAAACATGCCTTATTAAAGATCCAAACAAGAGCTGGCTCTAAAAAAATTTATCACAACTGGACTGGATCTCAATTTTGAATGAAAGTGGAAACCAATCTGTGTTTCAATCCCTAACTTATAACCAAATGGTAGTAGAAAGAGCTGCCATATGAGTTTTTCCATAAATACTACTAGATTTCCATAATCCGGTTCCTCTGCATTACATCCATATTCAAGAATCTGAAATTATTTCTGTATAGCAAACCTTGCATATAAACCATTTTATCTTGAACACCTGCCACTTCTTTGCTACTTTCAGGTTTATTGATGGTTTTCTCATAAAATTCATTTCCTTATAGTAGAATGTTTCCAGGTCCTGCATGATTGCCTAAACAGAGGTTATGAATAGGGACATTTGCAAGGAGGAACAGTACAAGTCAAGATGGCTGCTGCAATCACATGATCAAAGTCCCGCCCCCTTTTTATATTTGTTGCAGGCTTTTTTTTCTCATTAGTTAATGGAGGAGTGGAAGTAGGAGATAATTCCTTCTTCTGTTGTCTAGATTTTGGAGCCATAGCAATATACTTATAGAAGTTTCCTCTTACCAATTAAACAGGAACAGTCCAAAATATGGAAATCAACTCCAAAGTTAACAAGAGGCTTGGTGGTTTAACAGCTCACCTTTACAACCTCCCCGCAGTTCAGATATTATTTTCATTGGAAATAAGAAATTGGGGATTAAGTTAATGTTGAGCTGTTTGAAGTATGGCCATTACAGAATATTAATGAGAATGTAGAGTATTAAATAGAGATATAGCACCTAGAAACTATGGAACGGTATGACTTTCACATACACATGGCACTGCCATTGATAGAAATGCAGGTGAAATTTGCATCTATTGCAGGAATTTGAATCACACATCAGAAGGACCTAAGATCAAATAAGTCTGAAATGTTTCCCCATTTTATATAGAACATGATCTTTCTTTGTTGTTAAATAGTGAAAAAAAGTGGTCCATTTCCTCTAAAAATAATGACATTCATCCATTCTTTATCAATTAAAAAAAATGTACATTTTATTTTCCACTAGGTGGGGATATTACACTATTTTGTTCCACCAAACGCATAGCGGAAGTTTTGTGGGTCTTTCATTCAGGGAATGGACAGCAAGAACAGCCAGATTTGAAAAGCTTCCATTCTAAATTATTCTTTCTACTTGCTTACTCAGAAAATTAAATATTGCAAGAGAAATCTATAATTTATGTGATGTATTGCTTTCCTATCTCTCATATGAGTTTTAAACTTGTTACCACCTCCTACACAACCTCGGCAATGACTTGAGTTAGGCCTAATCCATGTTTTGTAATCAACGAACCAAAGTGTTTCTTTGAACATACTGAGGTTGGTATTTACATGAAGAAGTTACAACTGTTTCAGGAGCTTTAGCTTACCCAACATAATTCTTAGAGACACTGTGAAGCACAACTTCCAGATAAAAAATTATCCATCCCCAGTTCTATAATGATTGTAGCTTGAAAAAACATGTTAAGAATGTGTGTCTCTATGCACATTTTTTTAAAATAAAGCCAGAATGGAAAGTATTCAGAATAGCTAATAAAACTCTTGAGAGTTAGAATTTTTTTTTCACATTTCACAAGTTTGTGGTGCATGATGTTAATGGATGTAAATCAGTCTGAGGGTAGACACAAAACATTGACTGCTACTGCTGTATTTTCTTTTAAGTTTATATATTTTTCGTATGCCAGAGCAATTTGTACCCCCTTTAATACTAGAATACTAGAATACAGTAATCTTTCAAATACATTGTTAACCCTATCTCTCGCCTCCTATTTTTCATTTCTGCCACAGAGGAGGGCATTAAGGACAGCCTCTGAAAAACTCAGGAATCGTTCCTCTTTTTCTACAAACGTTGTATACAACACTCCTGGAACCCGAGTGAACCGATACATCAGCCGCTTAATAGAGGCTCGGCAAACTGAATCAGAAATGGCAGATCTAAACTTTTTTACTCTAAGATATAAACAGATTGAACGTGAGCAAAAGGTAGGTGAGACTTTTATTAAGGACTGGCCAAGTGAAGGACATGTTGCACCTTTTTGTAAATGCAAAATTGAGCCTGCCCAGCATGAGGTCCTCCAGATAAATAAATTGCTTTAAGTAAAGAATTGTCTTCAGTCATCATAGAATTATTTTGTCACTGTAGCTCTATTTCCTCATGATAATGTTCGAAATTAGGTGGGATACAGGAATGAGCAAATGCAAGCTTTGGGCTTGTAATCTCTAGACTCCTCTTCCTTCCTCCTTTACATATAAGGGGAAACTAGGTAAAACATACCTTTGTGGTATCAGAAATTTGCAGTTTTGCCTGACTGTAGGACACCAGTTTCTCCCTTGAATTATTGGGATATCCAAAGGATTTTTCCCACCCCCACCCCCCATGTAGCCCTTCCATAATTTTAGGTCAAAGCTCTCCAAAAGAATACTGAAGGGAACTTGAAGCAGAGCTTTGTTCTAGTAGCACTGCTTATTTCAAAATTTTGTCTAGAGAAGACCAACACACAACAAATGCATGCTCTTTTTTACTTATTCAATTAATATTTGGCAATTCTCCCTACAACTGTTTAATCAGTTTTGTTTTTATTAACTACTGCTACTAAGTTGTGATGTTGTTTGTTGAGACTGGCTTTGATTTAAAATTTATTATACAGTACTTGTATATTTTGTAAGAGGCAATGTTTCATAAACAAATTGCAGCGATAAACAAAAAACACAGCTTGTAGTAGTGGGGTTGGTTTCATCATAGTTCAAAAGTTCCACCAAGAAAAAGAAATGCTTTTCTTTTTGGGAAAAGATGTCAAAAATTTTTCATAATTTCATTAAGGACTCAGAGAGCTTTCTTTTAAATGAAAGAAATCCTCTTCAAGCTGAACCTTTTCTCCTAGCCTCATCAATGAAATTGTTTTCCCCAGTAAGTTGTTTCCCATGGATCATTTCTTCATTAGAATTGTTGTGTCTTTGTTCAGCTTTCTTTTTCAGTAGCTTCAAATGTGGGGGTTTTTTTCAACCTACTTAAAAATGTATACATGCAAGCTCTGCGGAAGCTTTCTGAAATCAGTCTGGATAACTACAGTTAGAAAAGTTTAAATCTGAAAGTCATTAACTAGTGGAAACACAGGGTAGTAAAGAACTTTTTAGCTGCCTGCAATACATTAGTCCCTGGGGTGGTGGTCGTGGTGGTGGTGGTGATGATGATGATGATGATGATGATGATGATGATGATGATGATGATGATGATGATGATGATATTGTCTGCTCCTAAAGAAAGGTTATTAATAACAGTTAATAAAATATTAATACTTTGAATATAGTGAAACTATCAAAAATCATGTGAGTATTGGGTGGAAATGAAGGCACTTCATTTTGGAGCACTTCTGAGACCTGAGATAACTATAAAGATGAGACCCAACCCTTCCTTCCCAATCTGAGTTGTAAAATAGAGAAAGAAGCTAGGGCTCACCTCTGTTGTGCTCTCAGCAGCATTCAACATCCTTTCAAGGGCAGGTTTATCTGGGACCTTTTTCCTTCTTTTCCTGACTCCAAGATAGGGAGTGATAGAGACATCTATTCTGATTTGGAAAGTATTCTGAAGCTTGGAGCAAGATTTTTTCCACCTCTGGGCTAACTCCATAAACATTTATAAAAAAATATGTTCTTGTTAGTAGAAAACTTGAGAATTTTAAACTGCTGCTTGTACTTCATTTTTAAGCACAATTGTTTTCTTCTTTAGAAGCACAGCATGCAAAGCAAAAGGCTAATTAATTGTCTCTATCCTTCCCCTCTTTCATTCACAGTATCACCAACTTCAGGATGAATATTTCACCAGTGCTGTAGTCTTGTCACTAATTCTAGCTGCCTTATTTGGCCTTGTCTACCTTTTAATAATCCCACAGTAAGTTATTTTTTCCAGTAATTTAAATGCCATGTGCATTTATGGCAGTATATAAGTATTGTGAATGTGCTTTGGATTCATTAAAAGTGTCTCAAATTATATTCATCATGCTAAAAAAAAAAATCTCTATGAATGTCTTTCAGCCTTTGAAAATTTTCCATTGCTCTGTATTGAAGTTATTGGGAACAAAACTAGTGCAGTGGATTGCTTGTGGAAAAACAAATCTTGTAGGAAGTAATAAAACAAAGACATTTCTACATTCTACATTCATCCGTAATAAGAAGCAAATTTGCTTTTGTTCCTACTTTCATCCTGGAGCTAGGAAAATTTAACAGAGCAATATCTTTATTCATGGTTCTTCCCAATGTTGATGGAAATTTAAGGGCCAAGCATTCAGTCTATCAGGCTAGCCATTTTTCTTGTGAAGAAAATCTGAGGGCTAAGCAGATTATGTATAAATTGTGTACCATAATGTCTTATTTACTGATTTTTTTTTCTAGTACAAGTACATGGTGTCCTAATCCAGACTGAGATCATTGTGTATAGGGGTGGATAGAATTCTTTCTTTGGGGGGGGGGGGGGGATC